ATTGCTACTGCAGTGTTAACAGTAGTGTGGGGAAAACCATTAGTGCAGCTGCGTCAAACTGGAGAAGGAGACTGCATTTGTAGGTAGGAGTTGTAGGTAGAAGAAGAAAACTCAGGCATGGAAAACCAAGCTGCTTTCATGTGAGAGAGAGAGGGAGTGAGCAACGTTGCACTAGCACCAGAACTATACATCATGGTACATGGAGACCTCTTTTAATAAATCCAAGGTGTCCAGAATGGCTAGATGTTGCTGCCCTGTTTATCTGGGGTATACAGTACTGAGAACTTTTTGGATAAAGGACATAAGTTAATCCTCATCACATTGTTTCGTACAATACAATGAGTGGAAATTGGTGTTTTCTGTACAGAAGTCTTTCTTTTCAGAACAGCCAAGTTAGAGGTGGGAGTGGTAGGGTAAAAGTTACTTTGGTGGGCTTATTTAAATATCTCCCAAGTTAATTTAGAGATTTTGGGGAACATATTGATTTGAGACTTCGCTGAGTTTTGATTACATCATCCGGAAACTTTCCAGGTAATTGAGAACTGACTTAAGCTAAATTTCTATTCTGTTTTTGGAATTTGGATTCTAACTGTAGGTTGTAAGCGTTTTTCTTGTTTTATCAGTCTCTCCTATAAAATGCTGGAGTACTGTTCAGAAGATGACTACATGTTCCTATCCCCTTGAAGGATCTGCAGTGAACACTACAGCTCTAAACCACCCTAGCAAGCCATTTGCTGCCACGATTACAATAATTTGATTAATGTAGACTTGGAGAGTTTGGCTCTGATCCTGCAAATGCTTTTCTATAGACTTAACTTTGTGTGAGGGAGTTATTTAAGTTGTTGGAGCAACTTGTGGGTGAAATTCAGCAGTTGCTTTGGTGTTTTCAAAATGCAGATCTTTAAAGTACTTTCTCTTTCTTGGATGTCGGTGGTCTCTTTCATGCATCTCCATGGGCTAGATAAGGGATGTGGAGCCAGTCTGTGGATCAGATTGGTCCCACAGACTAGTCCCGCATGCTGGAACCAGCCCTTGGGGCCGGGCTGGTGCAGGCATGGTATGCAATGCATGCGCAGGGCTAGCTACACATGCTGCTTTCAGCATGCATTGGCTCCATGCCATGGGGTCATGCTGCATATGGCACCTATGCTAGACTGTCCCTATTGCTCCAGTTCAGGCACACAGGACTGGTCTATGGGCCCAGTGAAGACTGGCTCCAGATTCGGCATGGATGGTCATTCTGGTGCAGGTGCTGCTTGCTGTGTGTCTCCCAAATGTGTCACAGGTTCTGCATGCTTGCCTGCAGTGCAGGGTAACTCCTGCCTGGTGTGGCACAGTGTGCACTGGGGTACACTTGATCCAGCATAGACAGCCTGTCTGTGGGCCCAGTCTGGACTGACCATGGATCCAGTGTGGGTGACATATGCAGCACACACCTCAAGCTGGCCTCACACCAGATGGGTTTTACATGCTGTGTGCAGCATGCAGGGCCGGAGCCAGCGCACGTTGAAAGTGACAAGCAGCATTGCAGGCTGGAGGATAAGGCTCTGCAGGCTATATCTTTGACTCCCCTGTTGTAGGGGAATTATTGTCCACAAGAAAAACTTCCAGTCACTCACGCAGCGTGGAACAAAACCCTAGGGATTTTCTCAACCTCCAGTTCAATATATTTTATTTATATAGGATAAAAAATAGGTTGGGGAATGCAAGCTGATCAACTATGCTTGATTGCGGAGTGATTGAGTAACTGCTGAAATAGTCCTTTTTTGGATGAAATGCATTAACTGCTTAATGATTACAGTGACACCACGCAACAGAAATGTTATGCTTAAGTGGGTACATAGAACACTAAAATCTTCAGTTTAACTCCCTGTAAGAAATAGATGGGGGGGTGAATTTTATTTTATTTTTTATAGTCAACAACAGAAGCTTTTAGCTGCATGAATAAGTTTTCTCAGTTTTGCTGTAATAATGAACTCCCCACCTTAGTTTTACAAAGGGGTGGGATTAAGATGTTCCATTTAAAGCCCTTTTTGTCCAAGAACAAAAAAAGGATTTATTTTCTTGCTGTCTTCCATATTCATGTGGTGACACCAGCGTCGCAGAAGAAATCCTGCTCCAGGCACTATGTTTTCCCACAGTTTTTAAAGTCTGTTTTAATTTGCTCTGTTCATCTTTCTCTCTTGGGGTAGGTTTGGCAGGCCACTAAATGACAGTAGTAACATGGCATAGACATTCACTTGACACACATCCTTTGTTACGCTCTTTCACGTCTTGCCAACCCTTCGGTATTATGGGTGGAAGTGAGAAATGTTATCGTTCATTTAGCACTGTTCTATCACTGTAGAAATGGAATTATCATGGCTTGTCTGCCACAGTGAATTTACCAGCATGTGATGTTTTCTGCTTGCCTTGGGTTTGCTGTTAGTGGTAAATGTGCTCTTTAGCATAAGAATTTTTTTGGGGGGGGGGGGGTT